ACATAAATGCAACACACCACACCACCCACCCACTCACCTACCCATCACCACCACCACCACCACCACAACCACCACCACCACCACCACCACCATCATCATCGCCACAATCGCATAACAACTCAAATGACCATGACCAATGCATGCGTATGCATTCCACATCTTAACCACCTCAACTCAACACAATTTGACACTCACCTTCACGCACGGAAGCTCTGGGTACTTCAATCTTATGCCATATTTCTCACTGAAGTACTGCTCAATCGATTTCTTTAAATCTGCAATTATCTCTCCTGCAGCTGAACGTCTTGACAACCCACATACCACAAATTGTCGCTTGTACGGTTTGCCTGAAACAAGCATTACAAGCCTCGTCACATTCGAAGTCCACAAAAAAATCTAACACTTGTGCGACGCTCTTAATTGTAAATTAACCTTCACGCAGGGAAGCTCTGGGTACCTCAATCTTATGCCATATTTCTCAATGAAGTACTTCACAATCGATTCCTTTAGATCTTCATTTGCAGCTGAACGTCTTGACAACTCGTGCTCCATGTATGACTTGCCTAAAACGATTTTAACATTTCCCACCTAATTTAAGGGCTATTAAAACTGTGTTTATGGACAGTAAAAATGATCCTTGTGAACAATATGGGCGCCACAGTGCCTTCACACATGGCTCGAGTATTGTCAGATGAGAAATGAAAACTACCATGGCCTTCTAGCGCTTTGTATTATTTCTTGGCAAGTTACATTGTCGGGGAAAAGTACCAATTAATAGTTTTCCGCTTCCTATGGCACAATCATCTCATTTACTTTAATAACGTCCAATCTATTAAGCAAATCAACAATAGCGACTAAAACCTACACTGTCGACAGCCGGCAGTTGTGGCAGCGTAATAGCTTGACTTTTGTAGTTGTTGATGCCCCTCTGCCTTTTACGTCCTCTCCATCACTTCTTTCACTTTTCTTCTTTGACAATTGTAGACGTTCTCAGTCCTTAATAATATGCTGTCTGGGAGTCTTACTTCTATTTTGGCTTGAGGAAATCCTCTATAAAGTTGCTATGACCAACACCAATGCACCTTTCTCAGCCTTTATGGATCAGTTTGCGAAGCAAATGCTAGAAGCATGCCACATGCTTGATGAAAGTCGTTGCTTCGCCCACATTTTATCCTAACAATGATTTGATTGTAGATATTAAGCGACTTCATTTGCAATTATTGCATGTAAAGTCAAGATGCTGTTGTCTGCCTACTTACTGGCAGGTTGACATAGGGACAGACAAATAAAAAAGCGTTCAGGCAGACAAAGTGAAGAAACGAAATGCCTGACTTGCGACCAATAATGGTAGTCAGTGTAATGCGTGGCAGTGGCTTCGGGATCATATGGTTTCCGTCGGATATGATGGCCTTCGGGGCATGTCAAAACCTTCCTCCACCATCTCCATCGGATTACATGTAATCAATTAAGTCTGATGTCAAACTGGACGTCTTCAGATGCTAAAACTGTGCTTTTGATCCGCAAAGTGATTTTACAAACGATCCACCCACTATGGCTGAGGTAGTCAAAAAATTAGAAGGAATG